GTGTGTGTGTGTGTGTGTGTGTGTGTGTGTGTGTGTGTGTGAGACCTCACAGAAAACAGTCTCAGCAGGTCTCAGAGCTGAAGTCGATAAACCTTTCACACAGATTGTTACAACATGTAGGTCATGATGAAGCTGCTGCTGAAAGGAGCTGTTTCTGCAGAGACCCCCCCCCAGCTGACCCCCCCCAGCTTTTATAAATAAATTTTACAAACTGCTCTATCTGGGCATCAAGGTAGAAAAGCTTCTCATATATTTTTGTTTTAACAGATAATTTATTTTATTTGTGAATAAATTATTTCTCTTTCTCAGATTTATCATTAGCAGACATTGTTTCACCACATTTTGTCTAAATCTAAATATTTAATGATTTGTAGAGCAAATATATTCTTTTTTATCAGACTGAATCTTTTAAATAATAATCTATAATAATCTGTTTATTCTGCTGTGTAAACCTCAGACAACATCTTCTTCTCTCAGATTTTCTTCAGTGTTTCCTGAATCTGAACATGTTTCTGTCCTCAAACAGAAACAGAAGGTCACTTCTGTTTTTCCTGCTCTCATCACGAGCCCAACGAGCAGAAAGCTSTTCAGCCACAACACAAAAACACACGTTTCACTGTTGAAACCCATGTTCAGAAATGAACGAGGAGAACAAGTGGTTTAAAGAACGCTCTGCAGGCTGAGAGCTGCAGTCAGGGTCCTCCTGGATCCGCTGAGAGCCACAGATGGGTCCTGATGGTCCTGATGGGTCCTGATGGGCTCTTCACCAGGACATGTGGAGAACGGTGTGTGTGTCTGTCCTTGTTTTTGATACTTGGTGAGGACGATTTCTCAGGAAAATGCAGCCTYGTRGGGACCGGATGCTCCTTGTGGGGACCAAAGCCTGGTCCCCATGACTTCAGAGGCTGATTTGAGATGTGGGGGTTGGGTTTAGGACCAAGGTGATTTTAGGTGAGTTTAGGTTAGTTTCAGGGTAAATGATCAGGGTAAGACTACAACATTTCCAAAAAATGAATGGAAGTCAATGGAAAGTCCCCACAAGGATAGAGAGCGATTACTGGCTTTGCAGAGTTGGTAAATCCTTTAGGAAGAGCACGCTCACTGGAGATCAGGGTTCAGATCAGGGGGTGGTCCTCCCAACCACACCCCTCCAGGTCTCACTGTCATTGGCCACATGAGCGTTGAGTCCCCCAGCAGAACCAGGGAGTCCCTGTTAGGAGTGCCCTGCAGCACCTCCTCCAAGGACTCCAGAGAGGGTGGGTAATCTGAACTAATGTTAGGCTCATAGGCACAAACAACAGTCAGGACTCATCCCCACACCTGTAGGTGGAGGGAGGATACCCTCTCATTCACCAGAGTGAATCCCAACATACAGGCACTGAGGTGGGGGGCAATAAGTATGCTCACTCCTGCTCAGCGCCTCTCAGCAGGGGCAACTCCAGAGTGGAAGAGAGTCCAACCCCTCTGGAGGAGACTGGTTCCAGAACCAGAGAGGTGTGTCGAGGTGAGTCCAACTGTATCTAGTCTGAACCTCTCAGCCTCACACACCAGCTCAGGCTCCTCCCCCACCAGAGAGGTGACATTCCACATCCCAGAGCAGCTTCTGTGGTCCAGGATCAGACCGCCATGGTCCCTGCCTTCAACCACTGCCCAACACACAATGTACCTGACCCCTACGGCCCCTCCCACAGGTGTTGAGGCCCCTCCCACAGGTGTTGAGGCCCCTCCCACAGGTGTTGAGGCCCCTCCCACAGGTGTTGAGGCCCCTCCCACAGGTGTTGAGGCCCCTCCCACAGGTGTTGAGGCCCCTCCCACAGGT